AATAAATAAATAAATAAATAAATAAATAAATAAATAAATAAATAAATAAATAAATAAAAGTCTTAAGTCTTTTGAATATTGGGATTCAATGGCAGAATAAAACAGGAGCAGTACAAGTCATGCATTGGCCTTTTTGTCTCCATCCTGCCTCTATCCTGACCAAAGTGAGGGGACCTTACAATCAGATTGACAAGGGAAGGGAAGCAATTAAGCCTTTGAAAAAGAAAGTAACGCTCTTAAGAAAAACCCTTCAACCTTTTCTTTTGGGCTGCTTTTGTTTCTGGTTGAGATTTGTTAGGCATGATACTATTCCAGTTCTTTGTGAGAAAGCTTTTAATTTAGTTTCTATTTATTCAGGAATAATCTTAGAATGCATCCTCCTTTTGCAAGCAAATTTAGAGCAAAGACTAGGTTGACTGGAAAATACTAGGATGAAATCCCTTCTGTGGGGAATTTTCCTGAATGAGAAACTCTATTGGGGGTGAGAAAAGAGAAAGCTCCTTTTTGGCCTCTGGTCTAAAGCTTTCCCTTTAAGACCAGAGGCCATTTGTGCCTTGGATGCCAGCCCAGTTGGTTCCCCTCTCTATAAATGTTGGCTTTTGCTGATAGAGCTGAACAGCCAGGCCATTGTATATGTCAAGACCACTGGAGAAAATGCCTGAGTGGTGTTTTATATAGTGTTGTCAGTGTGCTCTCTTTTAGGGTTGCATTTTTTCCTCCTTGTCCTCCTCCTCCTCCTCCTTGCAGAGACTTGGTTGTCATGGGAACTCCTGCTCTTCCATCCTGTTGGCACAGAATGGAGAAGCCTCCCCATTTTTCAATAGTGTTCTGCCCATCTTTTGTGAGCTGAATGGCACATTTGCAATAATTGCAGATCGTATAATAATTAAAATAAAATATCCCTATTACTGAGATAAAATAGGGCTTGAAACTAACTCAAATAGAAGCAGAAATAATGTATGTTGACCACATGGGGTGAATAGGCCATGCAGAACCTTACTAAATTTGTTTTCCTGCTAGATACTGATCTACTGAGAAAAAAATATAGTAAAATATATGCTCATCCGGGCTAACTGCAATTTTAACTAAAAGAGGAGCATTTTACAGAAGTTATAAAATAAATGGTTTTACCTGCACTATTGTTTCCACCTTCTCTGATCCACAAGGACAACTCCACTTTAACAATATGGATTCTGAAAGTATCTCCCTCACAAAAAGGAAGAGAAATGAGCATTGCGTTAAGTATAAATCCTGCTCTGACTTGGGACTATTAAGTGACATGGAGAATTGAGAAGGCAATAGCTTTTTCCCAGTTTGATAGAGTAGCAATTAGAGGGCCCTTGCTACATTATTTTTATCTTATTGTCTGAGCCATGATACAGTAGTTATGAATTTAGGAGCAAAATGAAACATATGATATTTTCCCTGCTTATTTAATTGCCTATTAGAATTCTGAAGAGCTTTTGCAAACAGGATGCCAACTTACCGAAACTAGGGTTTGGGGGTTTTTTGCAGGGGATATTTTTTAGTACTCCAAATGCTGCATATATTTATGTTATCACATTTGCTCTTGCTGTACCACTTCCAGATGCAAAACAAGTCTAAAGTACCAACTTGGTTGCTTTGGTTCTATATGAGCCTGATTTTGAAAAGAACAAATAAATAAATAAGGACAAGTAACATCTAGCCGCCTGGAGTCCTTCGGGATTGGGTGGCCTATAAATTTATTAAATACTTAAATACTTAATACTTTATTAAATACTTAATTGCAGAAAGATGTCATGCTTTTGTCACAGGTGCTTACTGTAAAGACAGGCTGTGTTGGTCAAAAAAAACCAAAATCTATTTTTGCCTACTAAGCCACTAAGGTTTTTTGGCCATTGGTAAAATTATAAAAATTATAAAGAAAGAAAATGCTAATCTAAACAGAGGAAATGAATAGATAACATCAGGAGCTTTAAGCAGTAATGCATCTCCTGGAGATTAGGCAGTGAAAAAATAAAAAGCAACAGACTGCAAAGACTCATTGTTATTTTAAGTCAACTATATGGATAACTTTTGTATAATTTCATGGCCTGTTCTTATGTTCCTCTGAATCTCAATGTGTTGAAATCTACGATAGAAGCTCATCTGAGTTTCAAATGCTTTGAAACTCATAGAAACCTGAGAGAGTTCTATCGTGCGGACAGTTCTGACTGCCCCTAGCAGGGGTGGGCTGCTGGGGGTTTGAGCAGAGGTGAGTTCCTACCGGTTCGGCCAGTAGCGGCTTTCTGGCCTGGGTCGCTGGAACCGGTAGTAACCCAGGCCTGCCACGTCCCCAAACCAGTTTCCCAGTATCTCTCCCCATCGCCGGCCTCTTCTCCCACTGCCGGCATGTTTCTGTGCATGGTCAGAACAGTTTCCAGTAAACTGTGCATGTGCAGCAATGGGTGGTGCACACGCAAGTGAAGTGAATAGCGCACATGCAAAAATTTTGCACATGCACAAAACACCCTCTCTCAACAAACCGGTAGCAAATAGGTTAGGAACCCACCACTGATTCTCAGGCTAAGATTCTATGCAGTTCGGAGAACCCCCAAATCCTACTCTTGGCTGGCTCTGCCCATCCCTCCTCTCCCAGGAGTCCCTATGTGTCTATCTTCCAGACCCTGGGGAGGCCGCTTTTGCTCTCCCAGAGGCTCGAGAAAAGCCTTCGGAGCCCAGGGAGGGGAACCCCTTCCCCCCCGCTGTGGTTTAAGAGAATGACTAGGCCACGCCCACCATGGCCACACCCAGCCAACAACCAGGCAGAGAATCCCTTGCTAAAATATTTGAAGCCCACTCCTAGAACGGCATGTGTTGTGTAACATAGTTGTTGTGTGAGCTGCACTAGTTGTTGGTTTGCTTCCAGGTCTAATTCAAGGTATTGATTATCACTTTAAAGCCCTTTGTGGCATGGGGACAGGTTTTATGGGGAATTATGTCACTACTCCATGTGATCTAACAGAAGGAGCTATCGACCCTGTAGTCAAGGAGTTTTGCCTAGCGGGGTTTAGAAGACCCTTTTCTGCTGAGGGGAGGTTTGCCCCCACCTGCATGGATATCAAAATGTTAGTTATAGATTCTCTAGTATATCATTTGCATTATCTGCATAGTTTCACTAATGGGTGATTTGTCTTAATTGCACCTTTGTCTTTTTTCCCTCAAGGCAACTTGATGCAGAAATAGCTTATTCTGCTTTTTCTCACCCCAGTTAACTGCAATGACACATTGCTTGCTGGGTACAACTTAATAATAGAAAGACAAAAATCCTTCTGTATTTCTAGACCTTTCTATTAACAGTACCTCTTCCCATCCCATACTGGTCTGATTATATTTAATCTGTAACTTGTAGGTATAAGTACCTGTATCACTGCAGTGATGCTGGTTTTAGTTTTTTTTCCAATTTCATGATTCCATTATCCGCAGTTAATATGAGAGCTCTTATATTTATTTAAACATCAGATTTGCAACTTCATGAATATTTCTGTGGTTCTACTGTGTGTGCCCTAGAAAAGCTGTCTGATGTATAATCACTTCATATTCTTCAGTACTTAACTCTTATAATTCCTTAAAAGATATGCTCACACACACACCCTTTTTTTTTACAGGATTCGTCCTCAGATGCCAAAGGAAAAGATTGAAGGATGCCACATCTGCACATCAGTGACACCTGGGGAACCCCAAGTACTCCTTGGAAAGGACAAAGCATTTACTTATGACTTTGTCTTTGACCTGGACACTTGGCAGGAACAGATCTATACAACTTGTGTAAGCAAGCTGATTGACGGCTGCTTTGAAGGCTACAATGCAACTGTGTTGGCATATGGCCAGGTGTGTGCCTTTTTTATTCTCCTTACAGTTTCGGTTATGAGCTTATCTGAATGGGATTGGCACGGTTAAAATGACCGTGTTTCCTGCTTTATGTAGAGTACTATATTTTATGAGAAATCATTCTGAGGGCTTGTCCAGTTAAGTTAAGCTTAAAGATAATAAATCCCATCAGAAAAGAGCCCGACAACCTCCTTAAACCTTAGACTTTTCCACTAGAGCTAGGGTAGCAAACTGGATTTCATTGAGGGCCACATCAGGGTTGTGTTTGACCTCGGGGTGTGTGTGGCTGGGGTAGGTGTGGCCAGCTTGACATCGCTCATGTCAGGGCGCCTGTGGTGGCCCGAGCATTCTGCCAGAGAAAACGGGCTTCTGAGCTCTGTTTTCGTCTGAGACGGCCTCCTGCAACCATCTGCCATTGAAAACGGAGCTTGGGAGGACCCATGTGCAGCCCTCCCTAGCTGTTTTCTGTGGCAGAGGCACCACGAGCCAGTCCTTTGCTGTTTCCAGAGCGGCCCCACAGGCCAGATCTAAGCACCCTGCGGACCAGATCCAGCCCCCAGGCCTCAAACTTGACACCCCTGCACTAGAGGGAGAGGTACTGTGCTTTTATTTGAAATGTAGTATTTAATTATATTTGTCCCTCTCTCTGCATGTAACAAAATATGCACTTTTTATACAATGTGGGACCTTTTGTTTTCCTGTTTAGCATCTATTCTGGGGGAAGGTGTATAAGGGGTAACAATAACTCTTACTTAAGTATGAAGTGGCCTTGCCACAAATAAAATAAGCAGGGAGTGAAATTGTTTCTTTTATATTGACAGCTTTAATAAATGAAAATTTTAAAGATCATTAAAGCAGTCCATGGATTGGTGTAAATTTTGGAACTAAATATTTCTGAACCAATGCAGAAATTCTTCATTTCAGTGATGAAAATTGGGCTTTGGAATTAGAGAAAAGATACAGAGTAAATAACAGAGTGGAAAGCAAATGTATATTTCCATAAGCAAAACTTACAAAAAACATGCCTCAGTGGACTAGCAGCTACCCCTGTAGAGTGAGGAACAATCAAACTTCACAGGGCAAACAGACTTAAGGATGAGATGTTTAGCTGTGTATCTAAAAGATCTCTACAGATACATATCCAGTCCTCAAGCCAATAAAAGAATACGATTTTTGATCAAAAGAGTATTTTGATGGCATCATCCATCTGTTAATATACAGTTAGTATACAGACATACATTGATGTTTATCAAAATGACATCATAGTGTATCCAAATCTTTCTGGATATATCGTAACATTTGCTTAGCTCATCTTTTTTTATAACTGGAATGAAGCATACATTTGGGACTATCATTCTGTTTTTTATCTATTTGTATTCTTTTTTAATTTCTCATTGTTTCGAATACTGATTTCATATCCTGCTGTGGATATTCTATTGGCTGAGCCTTGTTTTTAATCATATTTTTTTCAAAGGGACTTGTACTTCTTTAGGACCAATGCTTCAGTTTTCGTAGAACCTTATAAGCCAAATGAGGCTGAGTGCAGTAATAACGTCTAAAAGCAACCTAATGAGCATATGTGGGTTTGAAATTAGTTTTATCACATTTCAAGCCATGACTTCACACTGGTTCTCACTAGCCCTTGGGAAAGAATGGGAGAGAATTTGAAATGAATCAATTAGGTGCCAGAATAATGCATGGTAAATTAATGTTGATAAGCAGCAGTTGACAAGCTTGCAAATTAGCTTGTGACATTAAATGGCTTTTCATTTTAGAAATTCATATTTCCCTTCTCTCCAGGGCAATGTTATGTTTTTATGTTACACAAGAGATGCAGTATGATGTTGACTTACTTTAGCTAATGAAAAAACTATGACAAATATGCAAAGGATGTGGCATTAACTGGAGTTTAAAAAAATAAGGCAAGTAAATTTGATAGTGATTTTCTGTGTTTGCTTGAATGACCAACAGAACAGACCAAGGGTACGTGCTTTCTTACCTATTTTGCCCTGAGACAGTTCCATGAAATACTACTTCTACAATCTTTAGACAGGTGCAGGCAAGACTTATACCATGGGTACTGGTTTTGACATGAACACTTCTGAAGAGGAGCAGGGCATAATTCCACGAGCCATTGCCCATCTCTTCAATGGCATACAAGCACATAAGCAGGCTGCACAAGACCAAGGGGTCCCCATCCCAGAGTTCAAAGTCAGCGCACAGTTTTTGGAGGTAAGTATATTAGTATTGGAAGAGAGTGAGTCTTGAAATAAGAAGGTTTAGATTCAGAAACTCTGATAAGACAACTGAGACTGGTAGGTGCAGTGGAATTTCTCTATTTCAGTGTTTGAAGATAAATAATGAAGAGTGATATTATTTCAGTTCAGATGCAAGTTAAAGTATTGGGTATTCCTGTGTAGTCTCAACAGGTGGCTACTTTTAACTAATCGGGCTAATCAAATATTAACATGGTTGATATGTTGCTGCATGCAAGACTTAGAAGTTAAAAAGAAATCCCACAGTAAACTATTTCTGTATTGTTGCCAATAAAACTTTATGGTATTCAGGAAGCCACCAGAACTCAATCTTGACTTGAAGGAGGCCTCATCTTTATCATTCTTATAGCGAAAGAGAGTATACAATAAATAACCTGTGAACAGAAGAGAAATTCTTAACAAAAATTATAAGAAAAATACAACCAACTCTTCCCATAGCCCTCCAATCTCATTACTGTTGAAACACTGTTGAGATCTGAGGATCTGCCACACAAATAAATTGTATTATTTACTTTCCTGCTTCTGGCTGCTGCAAATATAATAGAACATTTGTCTCAGTTTCAGATTTTGGTTAGGCTTTTAGGGGAAGGGTGTATTTCATTTAGTGCTGTACCTCTCCATATTTTTACTTCTATAACTTTCCTTTAGGTTTACCCTCAATATTGAAATTGTCTTCTTATAAAGAGCATCAAGTCTTAAAACCAAATGAGATAAATAATTTCACACTATCTGTAATAACTACAGACTTTCAAACTTGCTAATTCTTTTATAGGCTTTTTGATACTGTAGTCAGCATCACTTTCTACCAAAATAAAACACTAAGCTTTGATCTTCAAACATTTGTGTATGTAAAAGTTACCCATTTTGGTTTGTTGTGAAACAGTTTAAAAAGCAAAACAGTAGCTCACTAATAATTTGTTTTTCTGTTTCATTGTTCAGCTATACAATGAGGAGATCCTGGATCTATTTGATAGCACAAGAGACCCTGAGAATCGCCACCGAAAATCAAATATCAAAATCCATGAAGATGCCGGTGGTGGCATCTATACCTCAGGTGTTACATCACGTCTCATTAGCTCCCAGGATGAGGTAAGTGATTTAATTTTTTTGCATGGAAACTCTTTCTCTTATGTTTCATCTTACTGAACCTGGAACAGTTATCAGTTTCTGATTCCATGTTCACAGACACTAAAAGAGGATATATTCCAGTGGTGTGATTCAATTTTTTTTTTACTACGGGTTCTGTGGGTGTGGTTTGGTGGGCGTGGCTTGGTGGGCATGGCAGGAGAACGATACTGTAAAATCTCTATTCTCTCCCCACTCAGTTACTTCAAAATCTTCATTTCCTCCCGATCAGCTGGGACTCAGGAGGCAGAGAATAGTTGAGGGCAAGGCCAGTTAGAGGTGGTATTTATCAGTTCTCCGAACTACTCAAAATTTCTGATATCTGTTCTCCAGAACTGGTCACACCCTGCTGAATACCACCTCTGATACATTCTCTTCACTTTATAGATAAAATAGATAAAAGTGAACTCGAGTAAAGTTGGACAGATGGATAGTTTTTTGAACAACAGTACTGTATGGAAATGATTTCCCATTAACTTTCTTCCCATATGTTTTTCAACTTTCCCATCTAGCCTACAATCCTGGTATTGTCAAGTAGTTTCTCATCCAACCAATCAACAAGCTTAACTTCTAAATCAGAGAAGGTGTTATTATTTACTCAGTTTCACCTATAAAATATATCTAAAGACAGAGATAGCAAATTTCACTTTCCTACCTTTGCAACAAATGGAAAACTAAGCTTTAATTGAATTGCAGTAACTGATTTTGTGTATGTGTGGGATTTTGAGATTAGAATTCCTCAACTGTGTTTCAGACTTTAGCTTGGTTGCATTCTGAGTTCACTAGCATTGTTAACATTCCAACATTCTATCCAGATTCTAATTGCCATTCATTATTTGGATGGTGTTCAGTTGTGAATTTTTTCAACTATGAAAAATTTCTTTTTATTTTGCTTCTCATAATGTGAAACATCATCATCACATTTCAATTTTTACTTTTTGCAGCTCAAATTGTTAGTCTTATTATGTTCTAACAAGTACAATCTAGCTGATACAGTGTATGTTTTGATAATAAGCATTGAAAGCTACAATAGAGACTGAAGAGGGTGGGATTGGAAAGGGTCTGCTTACACTTTGTCCTTTTGATTATTCCCCATATGTAGTTAACAGGGACGTGCAGTCACTGGAGGCAGGGGAGGCGGTGCCTCACCAGTCTCATGAGGAAAAGGAAAGAATTTTTAAAATAATTAAAAA